TTGCATCCAGATTCTCACAGAATCAGGTTTCTCTCCTTCAGGGCCCAAATGACAAGCAGACTTGGAGGCTGAGCTTTCAGATACTGGATTTTAAACTTTGCATGATTTTCATATGTCACTAAATACTGAAACTTTCCCCAGGAATTTATACATATAAAAACTGGCAGTTTCTCAAAAAAGTTAAACACAGGATTGCCACGTGAGCCAGCAATTCCACTCCTGGAACATGTTACCCTAGAAAATGCAAAAAAGGTGCTCAGAGATGTTCGTAGACGCATCATTCACATAGCCAAGAGGTGGAAACAAACTGCCCATGAATAGGTAAGTTGATTCACAAAATGGGGTATAAACATAAAATAGAATATTAAACTTAAAAGGGATTGTTATGGGACAGGGAGAGGGGCACCCCCAAACCCCCAACCCTGTCTGCTCTAAACAGGTTCTGCCATCCGCCACATCAAGACAAAACATACCCCAGTGCATAAGACTTTCAATGGAAAGGAACTTCAATACAATTAGTGTGCGACGCAGAAAAGGGGAAGAATATAGTTTCCAAATCAAGCACCCGGAGTTCCCCCTCCCCACGTGGGTCCAGCCAAATAAGTTCAGCCCAAAGCAGGCCCACTGAGGCCCTCCTCCTCCCTGCCCTGGGGCTGCCACTGTGTACAGGCCAGTGCTTTGTGGATGATGCCAGTCAGCAGAAGATCCAGGATGGCACTAGCTCCCTAATTGAGGACCCCCACATCCAACCCTGGCAGGAGCCTCAGAGCCCCCTCTGAGTCTTGGCATGGGTGAACATCAAGCCGGATGCAGCCCCTACCCCTAGCAGGAAGAAATCTGAACCCCAGCCCCAACCAAACCTCAACCTCAACCCCAAACTAACCTTGCCCAGCCCCAAATGAACCTCAGCCTCACGTCTCACTCGATCATGACTTTCACCCTGACCACACCCTGATCTCAGGCAGCTCCTTTGCTTCTAACAGCTCCAAACCCTCCTTGCTCCAAAACACCCACTGCAAAAGGCTTCGCGGAGGTGGTCAGCTCCCATCACCTGGGCTCTTCCTCCACCAGGGCCTGGACCCCCTGGGCCTTCTTCAGGGGAGTCTCTCATAACCTGCATTGGATACCGCACCAGGGGGCAGTGGCCCCACGGTCCCATGAAGTAGGCCACTGAGCTGGCGGGGGGTGGGGGGTGCCAACCCGGCCTCTGAGCCCCCTGGGGGAGAGGGGACTGGGCTGCAAACAAACCCCAGGGAGACACCGGAGAGGTGGTTACTCTGCTCTCTTTTGCGAATTTGGTGTGCTTGTGGGGCTGGTGCTGGGGGGTGGCTTTTCTGGTGGCTCCACAAAATTGGGGCACATAGACAAGGCAGGGGACCACAACTTTCTTCTGCCCCACCTGCCTTCCCCTTGCATTGTCCTCCCCCTCTGCCTCTGAGAATGGAGTGTAGCTTCCTCTAAGGATACCCACACCCAAGGCTCCTGGCCTCCTTCTTGAGTGGAAGTGAGTCTTGCCTCGAGGCCGCCTCAGATCTGGGACCTCCCGGGAAGCTACCGGGTTATTCTCCTTGCCCTCCCGCCACCCCTCCCCCAGTTTTCTTTCAAGGTCTGGATCCATGTAGGACAGGGACTGTGCCCCCAACCTGCTCACCCTCCAGAACCCAAGCCCCCCAACCTCAGGTCAGGTCAGGGTGGAGCTCTGAGTCAGCTCCCAGCCCAGAGTGCCGAGTCCCTACCTTTCACATCCCCTCCCTGCTCATAAAGGACCCCCCAAGGCCCATACGAAGCCAGGTGGAGGGCAGGTAGGGGTCTTCCGCAGGTGCCTGCCGCGGTCACAGACCACACATGGCGTCTTCACACGTGCAGGTGCAGTCCCAGTACTGTGACTGTGGGCGGACCGGGGCGGGGTGGGGGGGTGCACACCCTTGGGAATGCTGGGATCAGAGAACACAGGGCAGGGCCATGTTTGTTCTTTGGGGTATTCCTAGCTCTCAGGAGAGAGCATGTACACACACATGCTACATGTACACCGTCACACATGGCCACACACACACATACACAATCCTGTTACCACAGTCACAGACACAGTGTCCCATAGGCACAGTGTACACAGCAGAGCACCTTGAAGCACTAAGGCATGCCCAGGAGGATGGTGGACACAGGGGCACTTAGATGCCCCACTCTTATGCTTCCAATGTCAAATCCTCACCCCAACTGGGACGACACTGGTCCAAGTCTGGACTCAAAGGCCTAGAAGGCAACACCAGCATCCTGTACCCCCCTTCCCTGGGGACACAAGTCCAGGTCATTCAGGATCCAGTTCCCTGGGAGTCATAAAACCCACCCATAAGAGATGCAAACACAAACTCGGTGTCCAGTCTTGAAAGACACCCCCGACTCAAATATCACAGCCCCAGCAGCACTCCTGGGGCTGGGGAATGGGTGATGGGGTGGGGTCCTAGTTTTCAGGATGTTTGGACTCTCTTCCCACTGCCACCTCCCCCTCCCCCACTGTCACCACTCCCTGATAGCTCAGCTCTGTCTGATCTTGAGCCATGAGCTCAGGTCAAGAGCACTCCGGGTGCACATGGAACCCACCCAGATCCCAATCCAGGGATTCCCCTTCCAGATTCTCCTCCTAGCCCTCTGTGGCCTTTGGGTTGGTGTGGGCTACTGAGTCAGAGTGTGTCCAGGACTACAGAGGGTGAGTCTAGTACCTTGCCCGACCCATTCCATGTCTGATGTGGGGCAGGGGGAGCACTCATTCCAAGATCCTGACACAATTATCCCCCTGTATCTGTACCCCAAGATAGGGCCCTTCAGAGCTTTCAATTCACATGCAATCATCTGCCTGCCCCAAAAGGCAGACTTGTACTGGCAAGCCTTCTTCTGCAGCTTCTGTTTCTTCATATGCCAACAGTCCAGCCCCTTGTGATGGCCAAGCTGCAAGACCTCACTTCAAGCCAGCTTGAGCAAACGTGAAAGGAAGTTCCTGGCTCATTAAACCAAGAGTCCTAGTGTTGTAAGGACAGGTTCAGCTATGGCTGGATCCAGGATCTCAAATGAAGTCTCCTGGACCTGACTTCTTCCCTAGTCTGCTCTTCTCAGAGTTAGCTTCACCATCAAGCAGGTTCTCCCCTGTGGAACTTCCAGTTTTAGATTCTCCCTATCTGGCAGCCACATCAAAGGAGACACAAGGAAAAGGGAAGTCCAGTCCCCCCTAACCCCCACTGCGTTAATACAAAAGTCCCAGAGCCCAGTTTCATTGGCTCGTCTGCCACATATGCCCATCCCCTGTGCCAAATCTTAGGTTCTAATTGGTAGGATGTGGATCACATGCCCTTTTTAACCCAATCCCTGCTTAGGACCTACCTTCTTCCTTAAAAGAAAATTGAGACTTGTCATTCCATGAAAGGGACTGATCAGGCAACCCCACCGAGCTTTCTCAGGCCACCAGGATGCAGGTACACTGCTGTTTTTTAATAAATCCAAACATTGGCGGTAGATCTTAGCCCCATCTGAGCCAGGAAAATATTCAAAGCTGTGCCCCACCCCCTGCTTCTGTCCATTAGAGCAGGACCTGCTTCCTCCTGGTTGGGATCTTGTGGCTGTTACTTAGATGGGGATTGGTGGCCCAGCTGCTGGCTTTTTGCTGAGGCTGGAGAGGAGTGTCTCTCATCACTCCAAAACCCATCTTCCTTGAGCGGACAAGCATGGCAAGGGTTTAGGAACAGAAAATCACCTCACCTAATCTTGACAGTCCATTCCAAAGTTATCTCAAATTTAATCACATAGTTTAAAAGCTGAGCACACTCACTTCCTGAACACAATCAGAAAGCCTTTCACATTTTTCCAAAGGGGAGGAAACAGTAACAACGTCTAGACCCTAGCTGGCTGGTACAGCAGCCATCCAGCACTTGACATGTGGCCAGTGCGAACTGCCCTGTGCCTGGAGTGTAAATACATATTTGATTTAAGTTAAATATCTCAATTATTTATAAATACCATCTACATGCTGAAGTGACCATGTTTCAGGTATGTTAAATAAAATAGGCAATAAAAATTAATTTAGCCTGTCTCTTTATCTCTTTAATGTGACTGCTAGAAAATTGTTCATTAGACATGTGGTTTACATTAGATTTCCCTTGGAAGGCACTGCTTTAGACTTTGTCTCTTTTTTATCCTATTTTCAAATACAGACAAAGTGAACTTTAGGCCCCTGTGAATGCATGAACATGCATTTTTCTCTGGGTAAGCTTGGGTAGAAGTACACAGCTGATCTCCTGATATGTGTGTGGGCAGATTTGTAGATAAGGGTCTCCTGGAGAGTGCAAATATGGGAATGTGAGTCTGGGTAGGAGAGCAGATATGTGGATGAGAGTTGGTGTTTCCAAATATTTCTCCATCTGGGGTTCCAGGCTGAGTGGAGACTGCATTTCCAAAGTTAAGTGAAATCAGGGGATGGGGCACAGAGTCATCCTGGCCCAGATGTGGGTGTGTGTTGGGCCATTGCCTCACATCTGTTCCTTCCCTCCATGGGGACTTGAAAAAAATAGAGCTTCTTGGGTGGAGCTGAGATGGGAAACTGGGGTAGGGGAGAAAGCTGTGGGGGACCTGCCTCCAAGCCTGGCTACCCCTACCTAAGAGGCAGGGCTCTGAGATGCCACGACAGCTCACCTTGGTGAGCTTCATGCAAGCACACACACTGCAAGGTTCCTGGCCTTTTTAAAAATTGTTTTATTGAACATAATTGACATAAAACATTGTGTAAGCTTAAGGTATAAAATATGCTGATTTGATCCATTTATATGTAAATACGATTACCACCTAGCTCACACCCCCGTTACAGGCTCATGACCCTTCCAGTCTGCCCCCAGGTCTAGGCCCCTCTTCTTGGCCCTCCCTGGGACTTCTGCTCTCCTAAGACCCTCTTGATCCAGGGGGAGAGGGAGGATATCTCAGGGTGCAAGGTCCTGGATCCCTGAAAAGAGGACTCTGATCCCTCCTTCCCCTCTACCCCCAAGATTTCTTCATCTGCCTCGACACACCTTCTGGTGGGCGGGGATGTGTGGACAAACTGGCTGGCTGGGGACCATGGTGGCTGGGGAAATCCACATGAACCAGGAAGTCAAGATGCAGGCGGCAGCCTCCAAAGACAAGAGACCGGGGGTCCCGGAAAACAAAGATGGTTAGGCACCTGCGGGTGGGAGGGGATAGGTGAAGTAGGGAGGTTGGGATAGGAGAGGTAAAGGGCTGAATATGGAGGCCAGAGGGCACCACCCCCTGCCCAAAAACTGTGTGTGTGTGTGTGTGTGTGTGTGTGTGTGAATGCTCATATACAGACCCTCTCCCCAAGTAGCAGATCTTAGTTCCTTATTTCTTACCCCCAGAAATTTGAGTTTGGTGAACCAAGAACTCTGAGCCCCCATCCTTACTCAGAGCTCTGGGCATGTTTCCACAACCCCACCCACAGTTGCAGATGACCCCGCTTATGAGAATATCACCTTGACCTTCAGAAAGCAAGACAAGTCAAAAGGCAGTGATGTGCTACCCAAGAATCAAGGTAAGCAGCACCCTGCCAGGGGGTGCGGTGGGGCGAGGGGATAGACTCAATGGCAGAGTGTGCTGTCAGGCTGGTGTGGGACCGTGGTGGGGGCTGTGGAGTTGGTGATGGTGGTGTTGACTACGCTGCTGGAAGTGGTGGTGAAAGTATGGGTGACAGTACTCTGTGACTGGGGGGATTGGGAGGAACAGGGGACAGTGTTGAGGGTGCTGATGAGCCCTGGTGATGGGGACAATCAAGGGCGTGGGTGTAAGTGGGAGTTGGCGACTATTCGGACAATCGCTGGCTGTGCTGTTGGTGGTCGAGGTGGCCAACAGCATTGGGAGCGGGTGTAGGTGCTATTGACAGAGCTGTTGGTGGTGTTAAGAGTCAGTGCTAATGGCCTGACCTGGCCTCTGCCCCAGTCCCAGGCAGATCCAGATCACCCCCTGATGGGGCCAAGGTCCCCCCCTGGCTGTACAGAGCTATCCTGAGCTTGTATGTTTTCCTGGCGCTGACTTTCACCTTCTGCATCATCCTCTTGGCCTTGGTCCTGGTGAAGAGTGAGTGGGCGAGTTTTGCTGTTTTATTTTTGATGGCAGGGGAGAGGTCTGGGACAGTGGCGGGGGGGGGTCCTCAGGAGCTGTTGTCACCTGCTTTCCTTCCCTGACTCCCTCTGCCTTTCCCCACCTTGCTCCAGTGCTGCAGAATTGAGGTGCTTCAAGGGTTTTCCTATCTCCCCCTCCCGACACTGAACAGGTGATAAGCTGTCAGGGCAGCTGCAGAACTTGGAGAGGGAGCTTCAGAATGGTGAGGAGGGACCTGAGGGTGGCCCAAGGGGCCCTGGTGGGGGCAGGGAAAGTGATGACGCCACAACTCCCATCCCCCTCACCCCCTCAGCCTCCAGCTCCATGCAAAACTACCAGGCAAGGCAGCAGCAAATCTGGAGCAAGGTCCAGGAGAGGCTCAATGAGACCGAGAAGGACATCACCATGGTTCTCAGCAACGTCAGGAATGGTAATGAGAAACTGAAGTTGCTGTCAACAGGTTTCTGGGCAGACCTCACGCAGGTGCCGGGCTGGGTTCTGGGGAACAGAGGCTGAGGAACGGCCAGGGCCCCACCCTCCTAAAGCTCAGGGTCTGGAGAGGTGGTGGGCACTGCCCTCTGAGTCCTTCAGGGGATATATAAATCCTGCTGGGCACCCCAAGTTGGGGTTGGGCAGAGAGGGGCTTCCAATGAAAATGAGGACCTGTCTGAGCACCGCCCCCAAACTTCCTCCTGTCTCACCCTGCCTCCCAGATATAAATCACATCAAGAATAAATTACAGAGTATCTCCAATTCGCTGCAGAAGTCACAGTCAGGTAAGTTGAGGCTGGTTGGGGTTGGGGAGGAGTCCCGAATTGGCCCCAGCTTCTCTCCCAGGGGTGGGAGGTGCCTAACCCCAGGTGTCCACCCCACCAGGGTCCACAACTCAATAAATGAAGACATCCCACGCCAGGCTGCAGCTTGGAGAGTGGGGTTGCACCTCCAGTAAAGACTGAACACGAGCCCCAGCCTGGCCTGACCCTGTTCTTCATCCACAGACAGAAAACCGCGTGTGGTGGTGTGAGTGCGGTGGGTGTGTCCTGGCGGTGCATGCGTGTGCGCAGCAGCAGAGGGGGCATCCCGGAGCTCCTCAGGAGGGCTGGGGGGGCGCGGCACGTGGGCGCCACGGGCGTCGGGTGCATCACTGCACGCGTGTGCCCGGCCCTGGGCTGATGCGCGCCTCGGGGGTGCCGCGCGTGAGCGAGGGGCCGCCTCTCTGCCGTGTCGCCTGTGACTGCGCTGTGCACGTGTGAGTGTCGTGTGTGAATACGTGGGCAGCGCAGGCCTGGCTCGCTGGGACTTGGGGGGGGGGCGCCCTGGCACTACCCGTGCCCACAGGTGTGTGTCCATGTGACTGCACCTGATGATGTCGCCAGCCGAGTTCGGAGCACGTGCACACGCCCGGCCCTTTGTGTCTGCACCCACGTTTTGTGATTCATGAAGATAAAAGCCCCGGGAAAACAATGTGTCTTTCAGATCTGCTACTGGGTGACGGGGGTACTTCGCAAAGTGGTGGGGGCGGTCTAGAAACGTTAGGACTTGGGGGAACGGGGAAGTCATCCTGTGAACATGGGGCATGATGCTAAGGGACCTGGAATGGAAACCCCGGCGGGTCCCTGTGTGTCCAGGAAGGCGGGCCCAGATTGTGACCGAGTTCCCGCCGCCCCCAGTGTGTGCCCAGGAGGGTTCAGGGCTTGTGGTGTGAGATGCACAAAGTCTGCCTGTGTATCCACGGGGCTATGGACACGGATAAGCGCCTCAGTATGCACCCACGTACCCGCGGGCACACCTGTGCCGGTGAGTTGACCTGGGCCGCGGGGCAGGTGTCCACGCGTGCGCGTGCTAAGCGTACCCAGCCCGCGGCTCAAGGCTGTAGGTTCCCAAGAGAATGTGCGTCCAGGGACCGAGGTGCGCCCATCGTCCAATGTGTGCCCCCCCAGCAGGTGACCACACGCGCTACTGACCCCCGACCCTGAGCAAACCACAGCGGGCACGGCCTCAGGGCGCGGGCCTCACCCCGTGGCGGCGCCCAGGGACGCGCGCGCCCCCGCGCGGCCACTCCCGGGCCTCGCCGCGCGCCCCGCCCACGCGCCCCGCCCACACGCCCCGCCCACACGCATGCGCGCGCAGGTCCTTCACGACGCCGTAAAGCTGCTCGGCCGGGCCGCCAACACAGTTCCGGGTGAGACCCCCGCTCGCGCCCGGCTCGTCCGCCCCGGCCCGGCGCCTTGGCCCGGGGCTCGGCGCCCGCTGTCCCTGGGCCGCCGCCTCGGGCCGCCCGGGGATCCAGGGGAGGGCGGGCTCCTCCCGGCCCCGCTCCTCGATCCACGCCGCGCCGGGGCTCCGGGCCCGGGCCGTCCCGAGACGCAGCGCGCCGACCCGCTCGGGCCGGGTGGCGGGGCTCGGCGCGGCCCCTCCGCCTCGGCCCCCCCGCCCCGGCCTGCCCGCCCGCCCCGGTCGGCGCCGCCGCGCCCCCGGGCCCCCGCGGGCCCGCGGCTCGGGGCTTGCGTGGTGCGGCGCCGGCCCCGCGCCCCGCGGCGGCGGCTCGCGCTGAGCGGGCGAGGGGGGCGGAGCTTTCTCAGCGCGCTCGGGATGCCCGGTGGGGTCCCCGCGCCCCTCGGGTTCCTTCCCACAGCCCTTTGCTGCTCTGCCGACGCGGACAGCAGTGCCTGGGTTCCGGGGAAGGAGCACCCCGGCGCCCCCTGCAGCCTCTCCCTGGCCCCCAGCCCCGTTGTGACACTGCCCCCTCTCGCTTCCCGCTGCCCAGCTGCCTCTCTGCGGGGCGCCCCCACGCCTTCTCGGCCGCCCCCTCCGGTCTGCTGATCGCGGGATCCACGACGCAGGGAGGTGCGCTCAGGGCAGTGCAGACCCGCGCTCGCCAAGGGCGCGAGGTTGGAGGGCTTCCCGGCGCCCACTCGGGCTTGCCCCAGGTATGGCACGCGCCCCCCAAGCTCCCGGCCCTTTTAGCAGGTGGTCTGGACGCACCCCTGCCCGCCCCTTTCTTACTCTGCAGGGGAGAAGGGAGGTTCTCTTAACCCGCGGCGGGCAGTGGGACAGCCCGTGTCCCCTCCCTTGCCCTAGGCCTGGTGCCAACCTTCCAAATTTCTGGGCTTCACACCTGAACGGGCAAGGGTGGGGCTCCCACAGATGGCGGCAGGGTCACGAAGGTGCTTTTCAGGCACCAGGAATTGTCTGGAACTTGAGGATCAGGGTGGTTTGCAGCCTCCTCAGCCTGCTCCTCCCTCCCCCCCCCACGCCCTCTTCTGTACGAGAACCGGGCGCAGGCTTTTCCTTTGCCCTTGTCTTGTGCTGTTGGGGTGTAGCGGAGGGGTGTATCATGGACGCCCTCTTGCCTTCCAGTCATTTCTTTCGACGGAGGGAAGTCCGCGGTGGGCACCCAGCGGGCTGGGGCGGGGCCCGTTGGGACCCGGGCTTGCCCTGCACGGACACCCTGGCACCTTGTCCCCCGCAGGCGGCGGTATGGAGGCGCGCTTCACGCGGGGGAAGTCGGCGCTGCTGGAGCGCGCGCTGGCCCGGCCGCGCACCGAGGTGAGCCTGAGCGCCTTCGCCCTGCTCTTCTCCGAGCTGGTGCAGCACTGCCAGAGCCGCGTGTTCTCGGTGGCCGAGCTGCAGGCGCGCCTGGCCGCGCTGGGCCGCCAGGTGGGCGCCCGCGTTCTGGATGCCCTGGTGGCCCGTGAAAAGGGTGCCCGGCGCGAGACCAAGGTGCTGGGGGCACTGCTCTTCGTCAAGGGCGCCGTGTGGAAGGCGCTCTTCGGCAAGGAGGCCGACAAGCTGGAGCAGGCCAATGACGACGCGCGCACCTTCTACATCATTGAGCGCGAGCCGCTCATCAACACCTACATCTCTGTGCCCAAGGAGAACAGCACGCTCAACTGCGCCAGCTTCACTGCCGGCATCGTGGAGGCTGTGCTCACGCACAGCGGCTTCCCCGCCAAGGTCACGGCGCACTGGCACAAGGGCACCACGCTCATGATCAAGTTCGAGGAGGCGGTCATTGCGCGTGACCGGGCCCTGGAGGGCCGCTGACCCCTCTGGAGATAAAGGATGAGGAGCGCCCTTCTCCCACGTGTGTTGTGTCTTGTGTGGGGGCCTCAGATTACCCCCACACCTGGGCCTGGCCTGTGCCTCAGTCTGGTGAGGGAGGCCAAGGCCCAAGGCGTTCCCAATGCCCGTGGGGGCAGGGTTGGACCCTGCATGAGCTTTCAGATAGGGTGGGGGGCCAGCAGAGGTGGAGTTACACCAGGCGGAAGGACTGGCCCCACTGGGAGGGGTCTGCTGGTGCTTCTGGAGTCCCGGGCAGTGTGCAGGCTGAGCAGGTGGAGGGGTGGTGACCGGTGGAGGGACCAGGCTGGGAGAGGTGCCTGCGGGCCAGAGGCCAGCACACTCTCTGTGCAGGGCTGAGCAGTGGCTCCTGTGTGTCCTGCGCCCTGGCTACTCTACTCCTGTGTGCCCAGAAAACAGGCGGTGTCTCGCTGACCCCTGCTTTCGACCTTTGCTGCTCAGAGTGGCCTGGGCATGGGTGGCAGCAGGTCTCCCCAGAGCTGTGAGATGTGCGGAGCCTCAGCCGCCCCCGCCTGCCCACTCCAGTCTGCACCTGAGCCCGATCCCCAGGGCACTCCTGTGCACCTTAGTTTGAGAAACGGGACTCTAGGGCACAGAATATTAAAGCTCAGGCCCTGCCCAGCTCTGGGGCCCACCCAGGGATGTGCATTTCTGGCAGGTTGCCAGGGGCAGCAGTTGCTCCAGGGACTGAACATTGAGAACTGCCCAGAGTGGTTCTCCAAGGGGGTCGGGCAGTCTCACTTCAGAATCGTCTGGATGCTTAAAATATTTTGAAGTTGATTTCTGAGTACACGGCTGGCTCACGAGCCCCTGTTGCTGGTTAAAAGTGCTACGCTTTGGGCAGCCTTCCCCGGTGCCCATCGTCCTCGGTCCCGATCACTCCTCCCAAGGTGAGTCCTGACAGACACTTTGGGGGAAATTTGTTCAAATCTGTTTCTCCCGCACCCCCCATCTGTTTAGAAAGGCATCTCAGGGGCTTTTACCTGGGGGTCCCTCACTGCTTGCCAGGTTTAAAGGGGAGGTAGGTGTCAGTTTCCAATTGGCTGCTTGAAACGCTCCATCTGGCTGCATCATGGTGAGGTGGGCTTGGCCATGGGGAGCATCACTCATTCCAGCCAGGGGCGATAGTGGGGTGGGCACATTGTGAAGAAGGCAGTGTGCCTCAGAGGGTGAATAAAATTGAGCACCTACTATGTGTAGCTCTGATGATCAGCAAAGAGTTGTTGGTGGGGGAAGGGGCCCAAGGGAGCTGGGAGAGGAGGTGGTCAGGGCGACAGCCTCTGTCTGAGCTGAAGGGCAGTGTCTAGGAGGCCAGCAGGGATTTGGGCCTTGGAGTCCAGGAGGGAAGTGTGGGGTAAGTCTACATGGGGACGCCGCAGGCCAGAGGAGGGAGAGCCAGGGGCATGGTGCCCGGGGGGCCAGCTTCAGAGGGTTCTGCAGGAGTTGTCAGGGACCCTGGTGAGAGTGACTGCTTGGGAGGGGGGGGGGACAGGAAGCAGAAGGCCAGCTCTGTCCAGGGGCCCCTTGGTGAGGGATGCTCTGGAAGGGCCCAGGGTCTGTTTGTCCTTGCTGAGGGTGAGGAGGTGTCTTGGGGGAAGAAAGAAGTTTATTTTTTTTTTAAGATTTATTTATTTATGCATACAAGAGCTGGGGTGCAGGCCAAAGGTGTGGAGGGTGAGAGGATTCACCGGAGACAGAGTGTGGGCGCAGAACAGGCAGATCTACTGAAATCCACCGCTGAGGGGAACAGCCGGGAGACAGGAGAGGTCTGCTGTGCCGTGTGGGTAGCTCCCTGGCTGGGGATTGAACTCAAGCAGCAGTGGCTGGTGATAGCTTGATAGTTTAAACAACTGTAGGATTTGGGGCTTGGGCCTGGGCTTGGGGGTGAGGTGGGTGAGCCTGAGGGAGGAACTGCTCGAGGCTAGTGTGGGTGGGGCCAGGGAGACAGATCCTGCTGAGGAGGTGAGGTGTGTGGGGTGGTGCCACGACCCCAGAGGAACCCATAGGACTTTGACATTTGTCTGAACTGGAAGAAAACTAGAAGGTTTAGGGGCAGTGAAGAGGGAGGCCAAGGTGGTCATGTTTGGGGCTAAACCAAGGCAGAGGCAGCAGGAAGGAAAAGTGGCTGGCTTCTGAAATGCAACTTGTTACGCAGATCCCCTGTCTTGCTTTATGAGTGTGGAAGGGCAGTGAGGGAAAGAGGTGGCAAGGATGTCCCCAGCGTGGGCCCGGGTGACTGACAGAGCAGAGCAGACGGTAGGTGCTCACTCACTGGCTTGGATTTCTGAGGAGGAAACAGGTCCTCAGACTTCTGGGGGAGACAGATCTGTGCGTGGGTAGTTGGTAGAGAAACTTGGTGACCTGGGGTCCCGACCTGCATTCTCTCCAAGGGGCCATGTCTAGCCCTACTTTGTGCTGGAGGACCCCCATGTCCCAGGACAGTACCCTCCCCAGCCCTCTGGGGCGTTGGGGCCAGGGCTGGGCCTGCCAGGCAGGAAAGAATGTCTCAGGCCCTTGGCCACAGTGGAAGCATCGGGGCTTTTTGGGGGGTGTTCTTCAGGCTCCTGTTCTGGGCTTGGCTGTTCCTGAGTTCAAGCTAGGGCGGGCAGTCAGGGTCCATGTCTCAGTGTGTCCTGGGGGGTTCGGGAGGGGGCGAGGAGGCAGTCAGCACGTGGCCAGGCGGTCGCACACCCAGTTGTCCAGCAAGTTGCGGCAGTAGGCGTCATTCCACTGGCCCGATCCCTGCATCATCACGCAGTTCTCGCCCTGGCCCCCGTTGTTGGGCTCCCCTGGCCTCCAGTTGCTGGAACAGAAGACTTCGGTTCAGAGGGTGGGTAGGAAGGGCAGGGGGCCTGTTGCCTTCAGCCTAGGCGCATCCTTTAAACCTGGGTCCTTCCCTCCTCATCCCTGGATTCCTACCCCAACTCCCTGCACCCCAGGGACATCCTTCCTCTCTCCTCCCCCTAGTCTGGACCTGCACCCCAACCCTGGACATCACCCTCAGGTGCAATCCAGAAACTTCTCCACATCTGGACCAGGCGCTCAGGCCCCAGTTTCCTGCCGTCTCATCAGACTTGCGCCTTCTCGGAGTCTGCGCTGCTCCCGCCCAGGGCGCCGTCCTCACCTGTAGTCCGGGGTGGTCCCGTCCATCCAGACAAACTCCCCCTCTACGTCCAGGTCCCGAAGTCCGATCCAGGACTCCGTCCTGCTGGCGTGTCTGGTCAGGAAGTCCTGGGGAGCAGGGTAGAGCCGGAGGCTGGGGAGGTAGGCCTGGGCCCCCGCCCTAGAAGAGGTTGGGGGGGGCACCCGCTGCCCCGCCCCCGCATGCAGAGCCAGGCCCACCTGCTCCTCCTGGCTGTGGATGCTGACCAGCTGCCCTTGCAGATTGCGGCACTCGATCCGGGCCTGGAACCACCTCTTGGCGCCCTCGCCGAAGTAGTAGCACTTCCGCTGGAAGTAGACCCAGCGCTCGGGGCAGGAGTCGCACAGAGAACCTGAGGACGTGGGGGGTGCTGTGGTGCGCTCGGCGGGCGCAGTGTCCGCCGGAGTCACTCCCGTGACCTGGGCTGGAGGCACAGTCACCCTGGAGCCTAGCGGGGGGTCCCGGAGCGCCGGCTCTGTGTGCGAGACCAGCGCCTGAGCAGGAGCACCGCGGCCCAGCCTCCGCCACGCCTGCCGCCAGGGTGCCGCCGCCAGCCCCTGACGCGGTCACCACCGAGCTGCCACCATGGCCAGAAGCACGCCTGTGGCCATCACCTCATGCCGGCCTCCCCTCAGGCCAGCCTCCCCTCACGTTGGCCTCCCCTCACGTTGGCCTCCCCTCATGCCGGCATCACCTCACGCTGGCATCACCTCAGTGCCACAATGTGGCCAGCAGCTCCTCAGCCACCACTGTCCTCACACCCCACTTTACGGAGCGCCTTCATCACCACCGTCCTCACGGCAGGTGCCACTGTTTCCCACAGCACCATCCCCTCCAGCCGAGTCTTAACTGCCAGGGTGACGGCGCTGCCGAGGCCAGGGTTGCCTCCTGCTCTCCGTGCTCCCACGTCCCCCTCCAGCTAGCAGGGCTGCTGTGCTCGCAGAAGTGGCCCCGTGGGCCCCTTTGTGGGAAATTGGGGTGCATTTCTTCTCGTTGAGCAGGAGAGGCTGTGCGTGGGGGTGTGGGGGTGCGGCGGAGGCCTGGGTCCCCATGGCCTCGAGGCAGGGCCAGCCTGGGTGAGGGGCTGCTCGTTCGTTTCCACCCCAAGGGAACAGGCGCTGCCGCCGCCACCAGTGCTTCAGGAGGAGGCTGCACCCCGGGGCCTCCCTCTTGGTTTGAGCTGGGTGTCCCGAGTGGTGTGCAGGCAGGCTCCGAAACTTCCGTGCAGTTTTTCTAGGGGACTCTGGGCCCACAGGGCTCTCGCAGCCCCGGGGAGGAGAGAGGAGACAGCTGGCCGTGCTTCTCACATGGGGGTCCTACCGGCACAGCCCTCTGGGGGTGCGGCCTTAAAACTGAGAGAACACCTCTGGGTCCCGCAGGAGAAGTGTGGGGAGTCACCTGGATGTGTCACGTCCCCCAGAGCCCTCCCTGGAGCTGGGCTCAGCTCCCTGCCCCCAGGAGAGATCAGAAGGTGACCCCTCGTGGTGGGGGGGCCAGAACCACTTCCCACGCTCCCCACAAGATCACGAGGGGGTTTCTTGCTGGGATCCCCACAGCCACACCATGCCCCAGGGGACAGCATGACCTTCCACCAAGCAGAGATCCTTCCTCTTCTCTCGCCTAGTTGGGACAGCTGGGGCTTCCCAAGGTGGGAGCCCAGAGAGCAAGTGGGGGACTGGGCAGGTCACCTGCCTAAAGGTACCCGATGGCTCTTTTCCTCAACCTGCTGCCCTCCTGGGCCCAGCCCCCTGCCCCCCCCCCAACTGCCAGCAACCCTGGGAAGAAGCCACTGTCAGCCCCGCTGCAGAGGTGACCCACCCCGAGCCCCCCTGCTGGCCAGAGTGCACCCTGGTGAGTTCTGGCCCTGACGCCCAGCGACAAGTGGGGCTGCTCCCCTGCGGGGGAGCCATCCCAGCCCAGGTCGGGGGAGGGTACCAGCTGGACCCCAAAAGAGCCTTCTGAGCCTTCTGAGCCCCCCAGGCCCTGCTGTGCACAGACACACCCCTCCGCCGACACGGCCACACCATGGCACAGACACTCACCGCTGGACACGCGCAGCTCCACCCACAGCTTCTCCACCTCCACCTGCAGCCTTTCTAGGGATGCGAAGGCCCTCTGCCTCTCATTCAGGCCTAGGGCGATTGGGGGTGCGGCGTCAGCGCCAAACTTGCATGGCTCCCCCACATCCCCCGCCCCCCTCAACACTCACCCAGGGACTTGAGGTTGCTCAGGGTCTCTACAATTATGTCCAGGTTGCGGGAGAGCTCAGTGTCTGGCCAGGGAAGGGGAGTGTCAGGGGTGACGCCTCTGGGCCAGGAGTACCTGCGTCTTGCCCCCCCACCTCATGGTCCCCATGGCTCTAGGGCCTGCCCCCCTCCCTGAACGCTTACCCTGAGATTTCATTCTCCTCAGCTCAGCTCTGATTTCCTCCATGTTCTGTGATATCTGGGTAGCTGTTTGCAGGGGCGGGCTGATGATCAGCAAGTCGCCAGAACACCCCCATCTCCCCACCAGCCCCCTTGGCCTCTTAACTGGGGTCTTTAGGGCCCCAGCTTTGTAGTTCACAGGTGGGGGCCTGGTGGGTGTACAGCACTGTGTTTACATGTCCACCCGGGCCCCCCAAACCTCCCCCAAGACCCCCACCTGGGTTCACTCACCCTGGGATTTCTGGGCCATCTGGTCACCCTGGTGTTGTTTCAAGGCCTTGGAGACCTGAGAGACTGGGGGGCGAGAGGGAAGACGGTGAGTGTGTCCAAGCAGGAGCAGAAGGACAGGTCCTGGCCTCGGGTGAGCCCTCATGTAGTCACTGGGATCCGCCGCTGCTTTCTGTTTTGAATGCTGGGGTGCGAGCGCTCAGGAAAGTGCTGCGAGGGGCGCGTGTGCATTGTGCTGCCCCGAATTAAACGCAGAGCGGTGTTTCTTTGTGGGGAGCCCGCTGAGGGCGCGGTCCCCGCGCTTGTCCTGAGTCTCAGCCTGTCCCTCCCTGGAGCCCTAACATGCTGCCCCCTTACAGGTGAGGGCCCTGAGGCACAGAGCTGCCCCCACCTTCCAGTCACTTCTCAGAGCCTCCCGCCCCGGAGCCCTTGGGCTTCCACCCTGGGGAGGACGCTGGAGCCCGGTCCTCTCACAGCCCACTGGGCAGCGCCAGGAGCAGAAAGCAAGCCTGGCCCTCACCCCCAGCGCCCGCATACCGTTCTGGGCAGCAGCGTCCTTCAGCTGCTTCAGACTCTGCACCGTGTCCCAGTCTGAGGAGGGGAAGGGGGATGGGAGGGGCAGGAGGGACTTTCAGTCCCCCGCACCCCACACCCACCTGCCAGCGGGTGGAGGCCTCAGGTACACTGTGTGGGAGGTCCAGAAAGGGGGGCGTGGGGGTGCTGGGCAGGGAGAGGGCCTGGAGGGTGCTGGAGGGGCTGCTGGGGACAAGGTGGAAGGCATGATAGGGAAATTGGGCTCCAAGGGGGTCTGGTTTGGGAGGGACCCCGAGAAGGGCCCATGTGGGGTGTCCTCACGCCACAGGAGAAGCAGGCTCAGCAGCCCGGCCCACAGTGTGGCCGCCGCCAGCCCCAGCAGCACCAGCCTCACGCCCTGCCCGCAGCACCGCCGCCGCCTCCAGGGGAACTCCACCGGGACCTCTGGGGGGCGAGGGGCCAGGGTGAGGGTGAGGAGGATCTCTGGTGTCCCCATGCCGGAGCCCCAAAGTCCTGAGGGCCCTCCAGAGCCCACACTGGAGCAGGAGGGTGCAGCGGCCCCCAGCATTCTCTCCCCATGCCCCGCACTCGGCTGCCTGTGCCCTTCACCTCCGCCCTCGGGGCACCCGCCTCTGAGTCTGTCCCTCTGCACATCCAGCCCGGCGTCCCCAGCTCCTTCCGCCCTCACTCCAGCATCAGGGAGCCTGACTCGGCCAGAGGCCGCCTGGCCCCTCAGGGGGCCGCCCCCGCAGTCGCACCTGTCCAGTTCCTCCCTTTTATGTCCCCCCCACACCCTAAGTCACCAGCAGGCTGGGACCTCCTCCCCCTCTGACCCCAGCTCTCGCTCTGAGGCCAGCCCCAGCCCCAGCCGTGTCCCTAAACACAGGGAGACCCCCCCACCGGCCCCCCCCACCTTGGTGCCCCACCCCCGGCGTGGCCCCCCTGTGCTCCCCCTGGCCGTGAGGACCCTCCATGCTGAGTCCCCGGGATCCCAGCCCCGTTCAGCCGGCCCCACCGCGCTCTGGCGCCAGGGCCGGGCTGGAGCCGCTTTTTGTGGGGAGGGCGTGGAGCGCGAGAAGGGAGGGCCGAGGCTCCCCTCCGGGGCTCCGCTGGGAAGGCGGTCAGGCTCCTGTCCCCGCCCCTCCCTGCCTGCCGGCCTGTCCCAGGGATCGTCTCTTCTTCCCCGCGAGGCCCCGAGGCCTCCGCTCCCGGCGCAGGGGTCAGTTCTCGGGGCGCGCTAGCCCCAGCGCCGCTCACCCGAGTACGAGGCGTCCTCCATGGCGCCGCGCTGTCCTCTGCCCTCAGGGCGCTGCGCCTGCCTGGGTGTCCACGCGGCGCTCGGTCGCGCCGGACGGTGGGTCTGGCGAGGGTGAGAGTGGACCCGGGTCAAGACCGCTGGGACGGAGCGGCGCGGCGACCCCAGGCGGGTGGGGTCGTGGGTGACCGGGAGTGGCGCGGCGTCCATGCGGGCGCAGCTGGTTGGAGGGTTGTGGGCCGAGGCTGGAGGGCTGCCCCCGAGCTTACCGGGTGCACCTGGGCCCCGGTCACCGGCAGCCCCCCTGCTCTGTGGCTGCCGGCAAGTTCTTCCCCTCCCTGAACGCCAGGGACACCGAGGCGTGGGGTGCTCGGCTCTGCTCAGTAGCCGCTCACGCTGGCCCTGGAGGCCCCAGATGTGAGTGTCCTGCGGCCGTGACTGCAGGGAGGGGGTCAGGACAAGGCCGAGTCCAAGCTGGGCCGGACCCGGGGCTGTCCTCACGCCCGGGCCAGCTGCTGGGGTCGCTCTGCGGGGGTGAAGCAGCGCTGACACCCTCGTGCAGCACGCGGGGCCTGGCCCGGAGCAGGTGCTCAGCCAACCTGCCGCAGGGGCGCCGGGCAGCACCTCGCTCTGCCTCCCCATTCCAGTAGAACTGGGGCTGCAGGGGTGAGTGCTCTGTCCTCAGCACGCCATGCGGGACCTGGGGCAGAACCCAGGATGTGTGACCTTGCAGCCTATTTGCTCGACCGCTGGGACAGGACCTCCTGGTGGGCGCCTGGGTGGCGGGTCCCGACACCCGGCTGTCCCAGCAGCAGAGCTCCGGCCCCTGCCGACCTCCCCCCGGCTCCCAGAGCCGCCACCATCACCCCCAGTGTGACCATCAAGCTCATCTTTTCTGCTTGGTCACGCCAGCCGCTGCCACTCGCCCAAGCCAGGGGCCCACACGCCAGGCAGTTCTCCCCGGGCGGCCCCTACCTGCAGCCCAGCTCTGCCTGCTCAGCCCGTACCCGGGCCTGAGCCCAGGGCGCCTCTACCGCCCACCCCGTCCACACCGGCCCCCGGCCCCGGGTGCGCACCCCACCCGCGCCTTCACACACAGGCACGCTCAGCCACACACGTCACCCACTCACAGCTTCAGAGGGTCGGCGTCCTTCTGAGTGTGCCGGGCCACTGGAGAGGCAGCGGGGCTGTGACCTGGGGAGGACTTTCCCCAGGAGAGACGCTTTCTGCCGAAATGCTGACCCACCCACACTTCTCCTTTCACAGCTAATTATGGGCTGGTGACCCGGACAACTGCGCGATACGCCTGATGGCCCGGTGCCCCCACGGCCACGCTATTATTAGCCCCATGTCTCAGGTGAGCAAACTGAGGTACGTCCATGCTCCCTGGTGCTCCCGAAGGGCGGAGGGAGGTGAGGGCCAGAGTCCAGACGTGAACCCAGAGACGGAGTGTGTGAGAGTCACACTGTGTGGCCGGAGTCGGGGGTGCGGGGAGGGAGGGGAGGACGGAAAGGGAGGCGAGAAAGGAGGGAGAGGACAGAGCAGGAGATGAGCAAGCCCGCGAGGGAGCACGGGGGCCTTCTGCTCCGCGGGGACGATTGCGCTTGATTCAGCCTCAGCCCGCGCCGCGCTTTTCAGAGGCGTTGACAACTTAGGTCACGGCCACCTTAAGAGGAACGTGCGTTTGCGGTCGCACTGCCTGTGGGCGCAGGATGCCTCCCCAGAGCGGGGGGACGGGGTGCCCACCCAGGGACCCCTCAAAACCCGGCCCCCGCAGTCCCGGCCTGGCCTCACAGCGGCATCTTGACCCAGCAACTCTCTCCCTCCCTAGGACGTGTCCCCTGATCCTGAGCTCTCTCCCCACTCAGAGCCGGGACACACCCATGGCAAGCCCCACTTATGCCCCCAGGACCAGGGATGGCAGCTGAGCAGGTGGGGAGGGACGTGGCCGGGGTTTCCCCTGACTGTGCTCTTGAGGATGGCAGGGGCAGCGCTGCCTCGTCCTGGCGCCCGCGCGGGGACAGGGGCCATGTCTGTTGAACAGGGGACTCTGGCGGCCAGACTGTCCACTCTGGGTCCCCAAATGCACCCTTGAACCTTGATCTGGGTCAGCTGGGAGCGTGGCCCCCACATGTAGTTCGCTAGGTGACAGGATAAACGTTGGAAGTAGGAGAGAGAGCTGTCAGGTGGGATCAGAGCGAGGTCACTGAGAGTTCCTGGGGGCACACGGGAGAGTGGGCGATTGTGGGGGTAGGGGTCATGGGAGGGCTGCCAGGGAGCTTGTGGGGGGCAATGGGTCAGCTTGGCGGTCCTGCAGAGAAGGCACCCTGAGGGTGTTGTTGCCCGAGGCCCGGGCAGTGCCGTGGGGACTGGAGGGAAGCGGGAGGGTTGGAGAGCAGGACCCTGGGGGGCGGGGTTCTGGTGCTCCGAGCAGCTGTGGGTGACCGGGGTGAGCAGGGGTGTCTGCTGGATAATGGGTCTGTGCCAACGAGGTGGACACAGGACGGACAAGGAGGGCGCGTGCACACACGGCGTGCTGAGGAGCAGGGCTGGCTGGAAGGGTCCGCCCTGTGAGGCCTGTGGGTGCTCCTGCCCGCTCCGCCGTCCTCCCCGTGGGCCCACTCCGTGCTGGCCCTGCTGAGCCCGTAGACCAGAGGATGCCTCGACAGTGAAGTGTGCAGCCCTGGCTCTGGGGCCTGTGGGGACCCTGCCAGGTGGTGTCCCTTCCCTCTTCCCCTCTGCGGTCTCAGCCCGGGTCTCTTGCTCACTTTAGGGGAAAAACAGGAAACCGTGCGGATGTGGGCTCCAATCTGAGGGTGACGGTTCTGCTTTCAGGTGTGGGGTCCTGAGCCTTGGGTCCCGCCTGCGTGTGGCCAGTCCTGGACCCCAACTTGCTAGTGGGGGGTCTGCTGTGAGCATAAGCGCTGCCCAGGCAGGATCCCACCCGAATGAAACCCGACCACCTCCAGAGCTGCCCTGATGCCCACCCCGAACCTGTGCCATGTGTAGCAAGGAGCTGCATCCACCACACCAAACACAAACCCTCAGCACCTGGACAGGGGCTCCTTGCGCACTGCAAATGCCTCCCTGATCCCCAGCCCACGCCAACCCCTGACTCCCCCACCTGTCAGCCTCTCCTGGTGCTGTGATGGGAAGAAGGAAAGGGTGTGTGTGTTGGTGCAGGAGGGCAGCAGGTGTGTCAAATCCAGAAGGGCTTCCAGGAGGAGGTGGAAGGATCCCTGGCCTCTTCTTGCTGGTTTCCCATATCATCTTCCCTCTTTCCCATGTCCACCGAGTCACAACAGGCAAAAACACCTCCAGACACTGTCAAACACCCTGGGGGGGAGAATCAGCCCCAGTTAGAACCAGTACACAGAAGCATGATTTATAGCCAAGGTAAGGTGTCAGCTTCAGGCTCCACTCTCTTACGTCTCTCTTTCCCCTCTCCCCCTTGCTGTTGACAAGCCACCGCTTTCATTCACTCAACAGCCATTAATTGAGCACCTACTGTGTGCCAGGATCTGGGAACAAGACTAACTCCCAGTTCTCATGAGGGAGGAACACTAAGATTTCTGGGCTTAGTTGTGGTCAGATGCACCTTTTTATTATTTTCCATGGCAGCAGCACACTCTCATTGTCGGGCACCGCCCCAGCAGCCACCTGAGGACTTTCTCATCTCCCCAAACCAAAGCCCCCTTCCCCCACCCCAGCGTCAGCCACCCCAACCTTTGCTGACACCCCACGTCCCTAGCTGCAGCGCAGCCTGGCTCCCGTGCCGTGAGGCGTGTTCCCGCGCTCAGCCGCCCACCGCCGGCCGCTCGCTCAGACAGGCCCAGGAGGGCGGCCCTGCCGTGGGCGCTGCGGCCTCTGCCTTGGACCTGACACTGTAGCTGGGGAGACAGACAGAAGTCAGATGTGAGTGATCAGGGAAGGCTCTCTGAGATGGGGGTGTTTGTGGGGGAACCCGAGGGCAGGAAGGGTCCAGCCTTGCACATTGGAGGAAGGGTAGTTGCTGCGGAGGGAACCGCCTGCCAGTGTGTGGCTGCCTCCCCCCTTCTGGGGCTCCTCTCTGGTAGTGCTGGGGACCCCAGTGTGGGGACCCCTGGGGCTGCATCGTGTCTAGTATGAGGAACATAGAGCTCAGGTGCCCCAGGCTGCGCCCAGCATTGCCCACCACCTCCTTCCCTGCCCCAAGCCGGCCTTCCGCCCTGCCCCTCCCCGCCCCACGTTCCTCCTCCATGACCGACTGTCCTCTCCCCAGGACTCCAGCCCTGGCCGCTGTCCTCGCTCCTGGCCTCCCCGCTGCTCCTTCCCGGCGTCCCTCGCAGCAGCCATGCGGCCGCATCTCCTCTGTCACCTGCCACCTGCCATGGCGCCCTCAGCTGTGGGCCCCAAATCTCAGCTCCCCCCAATGGTGTTCAAGAGCCTCACCTGCTCTGGCCTCTGCAGCACACCCCTCATGGCCCGTGGGGCTCCCCAGGCCCCAGAGCAGCGCAGAACTGGGTCCCGCCTGCTTCCTCTACCCGTGGGCCTTTGCACTGGCTGTTCCCGCGATGGAATGCTGCCTGGCCTGTGTGACACTTTGCACGGCGCCTCCTGGCCATGGAAGTCAGGCCCCAGGCCTCCTCTGAGCCCACGACCCTCGGGCCCCCTCTACCCCAGCCCTGAACTCAGCACTACCTGGGCCTGTCCAGGGGCTGGAGCCCCTGAGGGAAGGTCTCAGCCCCCTTCTCGGAGGGGCCAGAGTGGCAGCCCCGTGCTCACAGTCACACAGCCCAGCACTTCAGCCCTGGCCGCGCCCCCGACCCCCACCCGAAGGCAGCAGATGGGCAGAAAGAGGGCCGTGCAGGGGAAGAGAACGCCTCAGCACTTGCGCCTCCCTGGAGCCTCAGGGTCTGGAGCCTGCTGGTTTCAACATTGTGTGTTGTTGGGGGTGGGGAGAGGCTTGAGGGGGCTCAGGATGAGGGGGACACAGAAGTTGGCTTCTCCACATCCTTCCTTCTGGAGGGCCTCTGGGGTCTCCT